CCCAGCACCCGGGGGGCGCCCCCCCCAGTGCCCAGCACAGGGGCACGCTCCCTGCCCTGCTCCTGCTGGCCACACCACTCCTCAGACAAGCCAGGATGCCGCTGGCCCTCTTGGCCACCTGGGCACCCTGCTGGCTCCTATCCAGCCCCCTCTCGACCAACCCCCCCAGGGCCTTTTCCGCCGGGCAGCTTTCCAGCCCCTCTGCCCCACGCCTGGAGCGCTGCCTGGGGTTGTGGTGACCCCAGGGCAGGACCCGGCCCTTGGCCTTGTTGACCCTCACCCAACTGGCATTGGAAAGTGCAGACACCTATCTGGAGAGGAGGGGGATGGGACACAGAGAGGTAGAGCACAGTGTGGAGGAGGATGAGGATCTGCCGGGGCCCACACAGCATCAGGGAGGTGAGGATGCCACGGGTGACTGACAGAGAGGATCCTACAGCAAAACGGGTGGCCCATCATAGGGGAAACAAGGAGTCCTGTGGCAAGGGGCTGAGAAACGAGGATCTGTGAGGGATTGCTCTGCAGGAGGAAGCAAGATGTGAAGGTCCTTGAGGGCCACAGCAGAAAGGACATCCCAGAGTCACAAGGAAGCAGGAAGAGAGAATGCCCCTGCAGTTTCAGAGAACTCATGCTGCAGGGACACACGTCAACGCTACGTGTAGGCTTCAGGGTAACGGCTGGGAGGACATGAATAAGGTTTCAGATCCCTCTCATCTTACTTCCAAATGCAGGAAGTCTCCAGCGGTGATTTTCAGATTTCTCAGTCCATTCAAGGAAAGTTCCAGTTCCCGCAGTCCTGGAAACTTCCGAAACGGCTCTGCAAGGGTGGAAAAGGAAACGCTCCAGCGAGTGAGGAACGGTAGTAAACAACGAGCCATGCATCACCTGGGTCTGAAATGGCCCAAAACCAGCAAGAACAAGAGCACTAGTATGGGTGGGCACGTTTGAAGGAAAATGCCAGCTCAGTCAGACGGTCGTCCGTACAATACATGATGCCCCCCCAGTCTACTCCTTAGACATCTGGTTTGCTTTCATGCATTTGCTCCCACCCCAAACTGGATTATTGCTCGAAGCCACCGATGGCATGTTTAGCTTATATGTTTTACTAGTTATAAATGCATTTCCTTTTTTCTTCTTCAGATTAACTGAGCCCACAACACTGGATTTGCATTCACCTCCCAGCTCTACCATTAACCTTCTGAGCCTTTGGGACAAGTCGTTTCATTATTCCATGCTTCTATATATTAAATGAGGATTTTCTTTGTAAAGAGCTTTGTTTTCTAATAATGAAAAGGATACCACAGTGGCACACAATACAATAAAGGGAATTAGCTCATGGATATCAGGTCAGTAACAGGAAGGAAGCGATTCTGCAAAGTGCTGCATGTGTATCTTAAACCTCTTTGTAAAGCTCTAGACCTGTGCTCGGACAAGCATAAGCTTCCCTGGGTTGAAAAGCAGCATCTATTTTTTGATAATGCAATCCCTTACCTAGTGTCAGCAGGTTCTCAGCAGCATTTATAAAAGCAACGCAATCAAATTTCTCAAAATCATCTTCTTTAGCCTGAAAAATACGGGGGAAAAAAGAATCATTCCACTCCAGCCCTAAATGGATCTGAAACACCTGGATCTCTCAGTTTTCTCAGAACACCTAAATCACAGCATTTCCCACAATTAGGTCTTCATTTGGTTTTCTGTCTATGGAGAGCACCTCTCAGAGCATGCGTTTAACGCACAGCTGCCTCAGTGACCAACATCCTGAAGACCTGGATTAGTTAAGCCCCCAAACAAAGCCCCCTCCATGTCCTCACCGCTGACCTTGCTACTCTGCGTGTGTTGCAGCGCTCCTGGGCCGCATCTCATACCTACGTGTGACCCAGCAAACGTAGCCACCCTACGATTTAGTAGATTTGTCCTTCACAGCGCCAGGAGGGAACCCTAAAAAGACACTAAAACCCTAGCAGCACCTCAGCTTGTTTTCTCTTTGCATTGCAAGTTAGTCATGAACCCAAATATCACTTCTCAAGCTGAACCCCTACCATAGCTGAGATAAACACCCCTAAACCCAAAGAACGGCATTTTGTGAGGGGGTGTAAGTGGGGAAGGGTCTACAACCAATGAAGACACGATCCAAAAGTTCGTAGGACAAATCCTCCAAGCCTGTTCACAGCTGGTTGGCTCACCTTTCTGTGCAGGCAATATTCCTGCTTCTAATGTGTGTCTTCTCTGATCTCTGGACACTTGTGTGCTAATGTCATAAAGTTTTCAACTTTTAAGGCAGTTCCCTAATACTTCTTGAGTCCCTGATACTCACAGAGATCAGATTTTGGCTGCTTATGTTCACAGAGCACAGGTCAGAGGGGTTCTTCAAACAGTGGTGCTTCATCTGGGGGGAAAAAAAGAAAAATACAAATGGTTAGTGCTACAGCAATCCTGTGTGTTGTGTCTGGGCCCTGAGCTCCAAAACCAGACCTCAGCTGCCCCCAGGCAAGGGGGGCACCAAGTGCCTTGGGTTGTGGGAAGGGGGGAGAAGGTGGCACAGAGATGGGGAGGGAGAGGTAGCTTCAGAGTCTGCCCGAGAGGGGGGGGGAAGGGCAGCTACAGAGTCCATCCACCAGCCAGATCTCCCCAGCTCCACAAAGTTAATTATCTCTATTCCAGCTGAAACCAGGCCACGCTATCAGAAAGTTTAGGCAACAACAGAGGAAATCTGCACTCACCAGAAACGGCTCATCTAGGACATTGGCTTCATTATTTTCTTCCATGAAGGCAAATTCTGGGGGTTGTCTCCTCTGCTGTGGTGCCTTCCTGGTGTTTCCTTTCCCGGTCCAAGCCCTCGGGGTAGCTCTGCTTGCCAGCACCCAGCGCCCAGACCCTGGCAGGGCGATGGACCGAGGCAGAGGAGATGGCAAGGTGAGCAGGCAACCCTCCAAATGTGCCCTTCTCAAAGTAGCTGCCCTCTGCCTGGTGTTTCAGGGGAAATACTGATGTATCAACCGTTCAGTGAACATGAATTTAAGATAAGAACATTAAAGCCACAGCCAGAGCCATGGAAGAGGAGAAACATGCTGCTTAATAGATGCTAGTGGAGCCATAGGTTGCAGACATGGAAACGTGGGCTGAAAGAGCCTTCTGGAGATCTCCAATCCAACCTCCCACCCAAAGTGGGACCATCAGCAATGTTCTGTCAGTCAGTTGGGGCTTTGTCTAGCGATTCCACCACCTCCCAGCGTAACCTGGCCCAGAGCTGCGCCTCCTCCCAGCAAAGAAGTTCCCCCTAACGTCCAACCTAAACCTCCCAAGGTGAAATTTTTGGTTTAGTTATGCCATCTGCCACTGTTAAGAGTTTGTAGCTGTCCTTCGGGTAGCTGTAAGCCACAATCTCCCTTTGGACTCCTCTTGGCCAGATAAAAAACAAGCTCAGCACCCTCAACCTTTCCTCGCAGCTCCTGTGCTTCAGGCCCCTGACCAGCCTAGTAGACCTCCCCACCATTTCTCAACTGTTAGAAGACATTTCTGCTGTTTCTAAGCATTTCACAGCTGTAACTCTCAAAGCCCAGAGAAAAAGGAGAAGCTGTAGGTCCGAACAGCCGCTGGAGAACCCCCCTGTGCTATCCACGTGCCTGCCTGAAGCTTCCCTCCTGCCATCATGCAGAGATGCCAGCTGGAGCCCTCATTTTATGGGTGCCCTAGACATCTTGCCCTCTTCATTTCAGTTTTAAATTATTTTAAACAATTTTAAGACTTTGTGGGCACTGTTTCAAGTTCTGTTATCGACTTATCTGTGTTATCAGCTGTGACGTTGATACAGGAAACCACAGCCAAATGTAGCCTCTATCTAACAGGGTGGATGGTGGACCTAATGACACGACGTTATTCTGCAGGGAAACTACACCAGCAGCCCTCAGAGAAGTGTCACCTGCTTTACTTGCACGTAAAATGTTCCTGGCAGGGAAGCAGTTAGTTGCATAGTTGCTTCCATCACCCATTTTATACAGTCCTGTCATAGCCATCTTGACTGCAGCGTTCCTGGGGAGAGTGAGAGACAAATAAATGGGTTAAAATTTTCCTTGGCTCTAACGTTACTTTGCTTTCCACAGCTCTTCCCAAGGGTAGCCACAAATAAAGTGTCAGCCTGTAGGCAAAGGAATGCTGTCAAGGACACACGAGGAGCATCACCTCCTAAAACGGGGAAGTAAACGAAGTGCCAGGAGTGCACGCGTTATTTTCCAGCTCAAGACAGCACAACGCAGACACCGGCGTGTGCGTGAGTCAGACTGTGCGGACAACAGCGCACGGGATTTCTGCTTTATCCCCCATTCCTCCTTTCCCTTGTCACTTGTGGAGGCTCTGGGAAAAGAATCACCCTGGTCACCACTCCCCAAACCTCAAAAATAAACTTCAAAGGCACTGCAGCGCTCTTGCCCCGTGCCCCTGCAGCAGGACATGGTCTCCCAGTGCCATCTGATGGCGTCTCCACACTCGGACACCGCTCTGGCACACTCCAACAGGGTTTGACTACAGCGTTCACGCGCAGTGCCCGTATTTGGGGTAGCTCTCCCTTACAACAGGCGCACTCTGCGTGTTCATGCACCGATACAAACAGGAGGGCAGCTGTGTGCAATGTTGTCACCGTCACCAGCCGGGCGAGACGCTGCTTCAGCACCGTGCAGCGATGCTCAGCGCCACGTGGATGCTGGCACTGTCGGTACACCGAGAGGGCAGCGGTACGGGGTACACCAGGACACCAGCCAGGGTACACACCTGCACGTCTTGGTACACACTCTGACACACACACGGAGACCAACATCTACACCCGTCCACTCAACCCCTACGCACACGTTCCCCACACATACCCCGCTCATGTGCACAGCCCATCGTGAACACACGCCACCCTCACTCCTGATGCACACCCCCGTACCTGTTCCCCTTGTATTGGGTTGGCGTGGCAAGGTTTTGGGAGTGGGGGGGCTACAGGGGTGGCTTCTGTCAGAAGCTGCTAGAAGTTTTCCCTGTGTCTGCCGCTGGCCAAGGCCAAGCCAAGCAGTGACAGTGAGGATGCAAGAGAAAACAGCCCTGCAGACACCAAGGGCAGTGAAGAAGGAGGGGGAGGAGGTGCTCCAGGCGCCCCTGCAGCCCGTGATGAAGACCATGGTGGGGCAGGCTGTCCCCCTGCAGCCCATGGAGGTCCATGGGGGAGCAGATCTCCCCCTGCAGCCCGGGGAGGACCCCATGCCGGGGCGGGGGGATGCCCGAAGGGGGGAGGCTGGGCAC